AAGCAGTGGTGGACAGCAGCTGGGCCTCTGCTTGGAGAACCGTCTGCAGGTTAGACAAATATGAGAGTGCAGGAGAGAAGTCCTGGGAGGAAGGGCTTCGCAGGTGGAATGGCCCCAGGGTTTTCAAAAAGATAAGGCTACGTACGATAAAGGCAAACAGTTGGGGGGGGGGTGGTAATTGGAAAAACAAACTCTTTAGAAACTACAGCTTTTTTTGTTTAAGTTAGTAATAATCTTCTCATACAGAGCAGAGCACAGGAAAATCTTAGTTTATGAACTAAAAACATCAGGATGGGAATGTAATTTGCGCTGTACTAATCCAAGAGTGGCAAGAAGGAAAGAGATGGTACGATGTGATTGCAGGAAGTCAACAGATAACACCTAAAACCAATAAACCAAAAAATGTCAGCATGAACACAGTATTTAGCTTTGCAGAAGACTCCCCAGAAGGGACAGTTACAAGGCAAATCTGGTCTCCCTTCTGTACAGGAGTTTTAGCTTGCTGGCTCTGGGCCAAATGGGCAGGGCTTGGCTCAGGGGTTCTATCGCTTACTGGCCATTGTCACCTTGGCACGTTACTTGGCCCCTTCGTGTCTAGTTCATCCTTGTAGAGACCCTCCTCTGCATCAGGGAGCTATTATATTAAAACACTGATCCACATGACACGTGCAAAAGAATCCCTGGCACATAAAGTATGACACGTAAAAATTTTGACCAAAGTTAATAAAAATAAACTGGGGAAAAACCTTAATGAACCTGTAGTAATGCTCTCAAAGCAATCTAGAACAAAAACAAAATATGACAAACCCAAAGAATGAAAGCCAGGCTCAGGTGAGCCGTGGGGCCATCACAGGGTGGCCTGTGAGGGCTGCAGCCCTGGCGGCTCCTCGGAAAGCTTCCCAAGTCACTTCTAGTGCAGCAGCGCCTCCCTGGGCTCCTAGTTGTGCCGCCTGCCTTCCGTTAGCTCTTGGCTAACCTATACCTTACAGCTTCTCTCTCCCAGAAAAATTAGCTCCAGTTCTTTCCCCCAGCTACCACAGGCCATTTCCAGGCCCTGGGCACGGCAGCCACGCCTGCACTGCTGATGGGCAAGCAGAGTCTCCCTCCCACCAGGGCAGCAGCTCACGGGGCTCCTCCTGCATTCCCTGTGATTTAGCTGATGGTTCTGTCCTATTAGACCCCAGGACTGCAGGCGCAGCACGGGGCCTCTCTCTATGGGTCACACAGCTCCAGACAGCATCTGAAGAGAGCCAGCTCCACAGACAGCGGAAGAGGTCACTGATGGCTTTACCACTGGTGGCCAAGCAAGAAAGACCAAGCTCCCTTTGCAGCTGTGCCTCGTGAACAGGCAGCAACAAACCCCACCTGCTCTCAAACCAGGATTCTCCCATTTCCTTTTCTGGTGTGACTTTTCCCCACAACACAGGGTCTTGCTAGGTTGCCCAGAGTGGCCTTGAACTCCCAGGCTCAAGCAGTCCTCCTGCCTCAGCCTCCCACGTAGCTGGACTGCAGGGGAGCACCACTGCTTGAAGGATTTTAAGGATGAAAGCTGCCACCCTCCACCTTCAAAGTTAACCTGACAGTAAAATGTTCAATGGAAATGACCGGAAAGGCCATCTAATCTCACACGTCACCCACTTCACAGGGGACCTCTAGCTCTGTTCAGACAGACCTAACAGGTGCTCTTGAGACGACCGACCCTGGGAGAGCACAGTGGAGGGTCCAATTCTGAGTGCTCCCCATGTTGGGAAGTGCCCCCCGTGCATGGTAGGACGTTTAACTAGTAAACCCTCTGAGCAGGCCAAGCTCGTCTTCCTATGGTGTTTGCTTACTGCTCTGACCTTGGGAAACCACAAAACAAATCTCACCACTTAGATGAAAATAGCTATGGTGCATCCTTTATGTCTTTTCCAAACACAATTAAATGACTGTGAAGGTCTCAGACACTAGCACATTAGGACAGGAAGAGTATCACACAAACTCCAATTGCAGATGGTGACAGGTACAGAAACAGGACTAGAACAAATGTTAACCACCACTCCAAGTGTTTCCAACTCTGTTGGCAGCTCTGAGGGCCCAGAAAGAATCAAGGCTGCTGTGGGGAAGGCAGCTCTGCTGTTGGGCAATGCCTGCTGGCGGGTCTCCCCATGGTCCCACAAACCCATGAGCCCCACCTTCAGTGCTTCGCAAACCATAGGAAAAGCAACTCTTAAGCAGCTTATCAAAAGCTGCTCTGGGTCCACTATAAACCTCTAGGTCTTCTGATGTTCTGAGAAAAACCCCCTTAGGTTGACCGCTGTGATGACCCAAAGCCAGCTCCCAGCTGGCAGTGTGTGCCAGGGCCTCGAGTCCTGAGGGAGATGACAAAGGGCCACCACCATGGACTCGTCTGTTTCTGCCACTGTTCAGCTCCTAGCACCAGGAGTGGCCAGACTCCTTACCACAAGCTGGCAGACGGTCCCCTGCCAGACCCAGCAAGACCAGGTGCTGCCTGGAGAGCAGGCCGGCTTTCTGTCTATCTGCCCATGCCCTCCACTCCTGTGCCACCGTGTTGCATATTGTCACTCCCACCCACACTGGTCCTGGGGAGGGGACGCTCCTGGGACTCCACCTGCCCAGGCCAGGCCAGATCCCCCTCGGGGCTTCCCAACTGGAGCTGCGGTGGGTACAGAAAGAGGAGGGAGGTGTGGGGTGTGCACAGCTGGGCCTCCCTAGCTGCGGGTGAGGAGGAGGCAGAGAGAAGGGCCGAGTCCCCGAGGCCCTCAGCACTGCCTGGCCTCCACATGCCCGGGTACTGTGCACACTCCTGCCTAGAGTCTGTGAGCTGCTCCCAGGTGCCCTTCAGTAACCCTCTTTTTGGATGACGGTGGAGAATTACTGGCAATACCAAGAATCCTGACAGCTGACATGGGAATCTGCAGCCTGCGGGATATGTTGGAAAGGAGGGGCACACCATTCTGACCATCTTACACTTGGTGCAACCACCACGTACCAGGGCCAATCGTCACAGGCACCATTCCCAGAGCTACAAAATATAAAGACAAAAAGACATGGTCTCTGTTCTCAAAAAAACCAGCCTTCTTCAATCAGAGGCTCAGAGATCACACCTGAGAGGACACTCACTCCACCAGAAGGAACCTCACCAAGTCAGGAACACGCAGCATCAGAGACGACGACACAACTGAAAACGGCCCAGCTAAGACAAGGCCATCAGGATGATCATGGTTTTAGCCTCTTTTAAATGACTGGCAAGGCCACAAGTACAATAGAAAACAGGGAGCAGGGAGACTGTCAACAACAAAAGCTGACATAAGTCACAACCTTAACAACAATGGGCATGTGACAATTGCCAGTTCAGCCATAAATATGGTCACTTTGCTGCCAAGATAAAACACTTCAGTTAGGAATACCAAGAGTGAGGTGGCCCACCTGCAATCCCAGCAACTTAGGAGGCTGAGGCAGGAGGATCGCAAGTTCAAAGCCAGCCTCAGCAACTTAGTGAGCCCTTAAGTAACTCACACTCTGTCTCAAAACATGAAAAGGGCTGGGGATATGGCTTTGAGGTTAAGAAGCCCTGGGTTCAATCCCTGGTATCCATCCTACCCCCACCCCACACACACACAAAAAGCAACACCTAAGAAACCACCTAAATAGCACCAGCCTCAAATTCTTAGACTAAGGAGCCGTGGCAGGTACAGAAGATGGAGAGGAAGGATGTCGCCCAGGTGGGTATCCAAAGATGTGGTTTGAGGCTGGGCCCTGGAAGGACAGGATAGTCACTAATGGCAGGACCTGTTGGATCCCGATGCACTATCTGGCAAACGGCCACCTCTGTCCTGGACATTAACAAAGCCAAATGTCTTCTGGCCTCTCTCCCAGGAGACCTGCAGGCTGGGGTCACAAGGGCATATCAGGAGGAAGGCAATGTCTACCCGAGGCCTGCGGTGGCACCTCACAGGGTAGACCAGCGGCTCGGAGCGCACGCGAGCGTGGAGGGTGAAGGGGCCTCTTCTCCGCCCTCCCCTCTCTCGCTGCTTCTGTAGAGACGGAGGAGGCAGCGACAAAGGCTAGATCCACCGTGCAGAGCCGCTCCACAGCTGTTCTCTTGCTCTTGTTTAACTTCTCTCAAGAGAGGGAGGTATCTGCCCAGCTAAGCAGATGTTAAAGGCAGGTGGTTTTGTTTCCATCAAGTTTCCTAAGTAACAGCAGACCAGCCCTGAAGGGTATCTCATGTCCCCATGGCGCCACCTACCCTGGGCTGCTACGTCAGGAGCTCTGTGCTTGGGACAGATTTTGCTGTTGGTTCCAGCACCTTCCCAATCTCCAGTTCTGTTAGAATTTAAGAGGCACAGCGCGACCCTACCCACCTCAATGCCTAGATTTCATCAAATTTAGAGCTGCATCAGAGGCAAAGTGAGACTGGAGGTTTTCAAATTCTTAGGAAAAATCAGATGAAAAGCCTGATTCTTTGCTTTGAAGCCCAGCAAAATTGTCACATTAATAAAACTTTATCTCCACGAGGAGAATTTAACATAAAACATGAAAAAAAATGTACTTATGCCAGGTGCGGTGGCGCAGGCCTGTAATCCCAGCAGCTCAGGAGGCTGAGGCAGGAGGATCGGGAATTCAAAGCCAGCCTTAGCAACTCAGTGAGACTTTTATCTCTAAATAATATTTAAATACAAAAGAGCCTGGAGATGTGGCTCAGTGGTTGAGTGAGTTCAAACCCCAGTGTCCCCCCCATCACAAAAAAAAGGTTTTTTTTTTGAAGTGTTAAAGCTCACAGCCTCCCAAATAAACCTACAGATTTAACCTCCAAGTCTTGCTAATCTTCCCAGGGTGACCGTCTCTGTGAGAAGGCTCACCACGGTGTGTTTTGTCCTCAGCTGCCACAGGTGCTTTCCTCCTCCCCCTCCACACTCAACGGTGCATGGCCACCATTCCTGGGGGGCACAGGGGGAGAGCCGAGGTGACTGCGTGTCCAGTCCTCTCCACTACCTTCAGCGCTCTCCTGCTGTGGAGCTGTTCTCACAAGGGGCAAACATCCGGTGGCACATCTCCTTCTCTCTGTCCGTGTAGTCCCTGTAATAGCTGTACAGAGAATACAGAGTTTGTAAGAGGTGACACCTGGTGGCTGGAATTCTCTGCTCAGGTACAGAAACGCTGAAAACTCAACAGGCCTTAAATTGAACCAGGGGTGGGTGCAAGTGAGGCTGGAGGGGCTGGGTCACAGCCTGTCTAGAAGCCTTGGACACAAAGCCACCACTTGAAAAGATGGCAGCCATGAAGGCTGCAGCCACTCCACATGGGGATCTGGGCCAAGTCCTGCCACGCGACCCCTCACACTCAGCGCTTCTAGCTTATCTTGAGATTTTCTGCTAAGGAACTGTCAGGGTCCAAAACTTCCACATCTAACAAGAGAGGATATTTTTATGCTTCAGAAAGTCAATTTCTGGAAGGTCTTAAAAGGCCTAAAATACAACAATTTAATCCAAATATAAGAGATGCACACACCTCAGACTCAATGCCAAGAAAGGTTTGAGTAGCTGGGTTGACTATTGAATGTTAAGAGGAGTAGAGAATCTGACCAACGCAGAGGAACAGGAATATACCTTAGAAAACAGCTACTGTCTTACTAGGTGACTTCATTTATCAGAGAATATTTTTGAAGTTTTCTCCAAAATGAACCCACAACTTCCAGAGTCAGAAAAATTATGTTGCCAAAAGTCAGGTGAGAATCAGACCTGATAGACTCATTTCTGATCCCACGGAATGCCACAGTCTGTTGAGAACAGTGGGTGAGTTTCAGGCGGTGTGGGCAGTTAGTCTAAAGCATGGGACACACTAAGGATTATACTGGTTGCTGGGCACAGGGTCACATGCCTGTAATCCTAGTGACTTTGGAGGTTGAGGCAGGAGGATTACAAGTTTGAGACCAGCATTAGCAATGTAGTGAGACCCTGTCCCAGAATAAAATATAAAAAGGGCTGGGGGCATAGCTCACTGGTTACATACCACCAGGGTTCAATCCCCAGTCCCAGAGAAAAAATTATACTGCCCCATGTTTCTAGGGGGCGCTTATTTGCAAGGTGGGGCACAGGAAGGTAAGAAATGATGACGTCATATTTGGCAGTTGGTCCCCCTTCCCACCAGGGAATGTTGGTGTAGGGCACTGAGCACTTCAGAAAACCAGCTCTAGATGGGGCTGCCTCCCAAATGGTCACCAGCCAGTCCTCCACCCAGGTGGCTGGACCAGAAAGGTAGCTCCATCTCACTCCACCTGTGGTCACATTCCTGCTGACAGAGTCTCACCTGGCCAGTTTCTTCAGCTCGTTATTAATGTCATGGTTGAAGGGCTGTTCCTTCTGGGCTCGCACTAGAAAATCCCGGGCCTGCTGGTACTCGGTCAGGAGGAGGCAAGCCTGTGGGACAGCGCAGAGCTTTCAGAGCGCGCTTGGGAAGGGGGGCTCCCGGCAGCGACTGAGCTGAGCACGCTGCTCCTTTTCTTGGCATTTGTCCCCAGCTCACCTGTCCACACCTGAAGAGGGCCTTGGCATTCTTTTGGTCAATGATCAGAGCCTGCTCTCCGTAGCGCAGGGCCATGGTGGGTCGGTCTAGCTTCAGGTAGGCAAAGGACAGGTTAAGGAGAACAAGGAGCTTGGCCGCCTCCACCAGGTGCTGCTCTTCAGGGGGAGCCAGGCGCCGGTGGAGAAGCAACAAGGCCTGCAGGGGGAGGAGGAGCATCTCACACACTAGAACCCAGAAGCTGAAATCAGGAGCTCAGCAAGGTTGCAGGACACAGAGGTCCACGAGTAAAAGTCAGGAAATTCTAACAGAAACAGCAGCTCAAACTTCTGGATGAGCAGGGCGGGCAGCACACGTCCTCTACTCTCGTCCAACTCTGAGGAGTAAGGAAGTTGTGCCACCAAGAGCAGAGGCCAGGAGAGGGGCAACAGCTGGGTGTCAGTGGCCGACCCGCAGTTCAGAGCCCAAGGAGCAGGGAACTGATGGAACCGGAAGCAGAGCTTTTGAGGGGACAGAGATGGAGCTGAGAAAGGGCGGATGGGGCCCTCTCGCTTCCTATCCATCCAGGTGGTTACCACCTCAGGAATCGGGTGGTCTATTTTCTGAAGAAATGGAACAAAAGAGGCTCTTGATCCAGGAACAGGAAGGAGCTGGGACAGGTGTGATGTAGGTGACAGGTGGCTGATGGACAGGACAGTCAGCAGTAGATGGTGAGGCTCTGACCTGCTCCCCTGCTCACTCCCACCTGCAGCACTGCGGCTAGGCATGCGTGCCAGGCAGAAGCTGCGGCACTTTACACACATTAGGTGTGGAGCTGCCACTGGCCAGACTGTAATGTGCCCCGCCAGGCCTTGGAGTCCATCAGCTTCCAGATGCTTCTTTCAAATTTCAGCAGCCACTCAAGGACAGCCTCTAGGGAGAGGAGCCCTCCGGCAGCCATCCTCCCTCCTTCCACAGCAGCAGATCCTCTGCTGGAACACCACAGAGTGCATCTGCTGGCCTTCCCTGTGGCTAGGGACGGCCAGGAGAGTTCGGGAAAAGACGTGAAAGGAAGATAGAGAACCAAGCAACAAAGAGGTGACTTGAGGGACACAGAGGGGAGGCTGCAGAAGAACTGGACGGAAGATAAGAAACCTCTCAGCTCAGCAAGAGGGAACAGTTATACACCCTCAACAACACAAATCCAATGCCAATTTTGAAAAGATAACCCATCATCAGGAGACCAACAGCGAGGACTACGGCCTCAACTTCTGTATTGAGAAGCCAACGTCAGAAGGCAAGAGATCATTCACCAGCGCAGACCATGGAGAAGGCAATACAGAGCGTCACCAGGGAAGCTTCAGAGGTCAGGCTCGGGAGGAGGGGCTGCTTGAAGTAGGTGGCTCAAGGAGCTTCCAAGTAACAGCACCTGCATCGACCTCTCCACGAGGCTGCCTGGACCTTCCAAGTCCACCTCACACTCTAAAGTGGCAGCATGTGATGTGCTCTTCCCTCCCCTCACTGGGGTACACTCACATATGCCTGATGCGGCAGATTTTGCCCAATATCTACTTCCCCACGTTTGACACTGCCAACTCATTCCATGCAACAACATGCTAATTAAAAAACATTTTGGGGGGCTTGAGATGTGGCTCAAGTGGTAGCGCGCTCGCCTGCCATGCATGAGGCACTGGGTTCCATCCTCAGCACCACATAAAAAAATAAAGATATTGTGTCCACCTAAAACTACAAAATAAATAAATATTAAAAAAAGAAAAAACATTTTGGGCCAGGGGCGTAGCTCAGTGTTAGAACATCTGCCTAGCATGCACGAGGCCCTGAATTCCATCCCTATCACTGCAGTTTCCCAGTTCCCATACAGAGGGTCTATGTAACATGGGTCTGGCCAGAGAGATATTTTTTAAAATACATTTTTAGTTATAGACGGACACAATACCTTTATTTTATTTGTTTATTTTTTATGTGGTACTGAGGATAGAACCCAGTGCCTCACAGGTGCTAGGCAAGTGCTCCACCACTGAGCCACAATCCCAACCCCAGAGGTATATTTTCACTGTATTTATTATTTTTGTGTGCAGAACTGGCGGTTGAACCCAGGGGTGCTTTATCAAGGAGTTACCGCCCCTTGTGAATCTTGTGAATCTTCTGCCTTAGGCTTCTGAGTGGCTGGGATTATAGGTGTGTGCCACCAAACCAGGCAGGCAGTGAGACAGAAGTCTTGGGGAGATTTCTGGAATACTTTAAAAAATATTTTTCATTTTTTAGTTGTAGTTGGTCACAATACCTTTGTTTTATTTCTTTATTTTTAATGTGGTACTGAGGATCAAACCCAGGGCCTCGTGCGTGCTAGGTTAATGCTCTACCACCGACCACAACCCCAACCCCTGGAATAAATACTCTTAAGGTAAATACACACCATACTCTCCTCCCCTCCCTTCTTACAATCGCCATGACCATGTGACCTGAAGACTGAGTGACCTTCTTAAGAGGAAAAAGACAACCAAGACATTCCAGGTGGGTAAGCACACAGAGGAGGGTAGGCAAAGACACGGAGGCGGCTGGCACCCTGAGGCCATGTGACTGCTACACCAGCCTTGCACTGCCTCCTTCACAATTCCCTTACATAAAAATTAAGTTTCCAGCTTTCAAAGTACTGTTTTTCAGAATTCTGTTACTTTCCACTGGATGCAAATCCTTCATAGCCTAGGCTCAGTATGCCAACGGACAGGGTCAGAATGCCTAGACTGTCTTGTTTGCCTCAGAGACTGGGGTACAGTTTGGTGCATGGAAAGTGCTCCTACTGTTTGTTGAATGAATGAAGCAGAAAAGGTCGCAGAAAACTGCTGTCAGTATAACCTGCACGGGGAGCATCATCATCAGAAGCTTGGTGAGAAGACAATGAGCCCAGAGAGCAGTGCCATCTCCACCAACAGAGGGACAGGAAGTGCAGAAGGCAACCAGGGTGCAGAAGCCAGGTGGGAGGATGGCAAACTGGGAAGGAGATTTTTAAAAATTAATTGACTTTAGTTTTTTTAGACAGTGGGATTGAATATTTTCAACTTCTAAATAAAGTGTACCCATAGGTAAGTGCAAAAATAAGTGGATAGTTATATAACAAATTTTCATGACCTAATGACACCCATGTGCCAGAGGGAGACCAAAACACACAATATCACCACATCTCCCAGTCATTAACCCCCGGCACGAGGACTTTCTTCAAGACTTTTCTTAACAGCTGCTCACAAAGAGCAGGGAAAGACACACGTTTTTATGCTTTTTAAGCAATGAAGTTTTCGAGATTTACATTTAACTTTCAAAGCATCCTTACCCGTTTATACCTCACTTTGGCATCATAGAAGCGATTTTGGCGGAAAAGGTAATTGCCAAACTCCCTTTCAGTTGTTGCCACTTTGAGTACCTTCTGAAGAGGAAATTGGTCTTGCTGCTCCTGAGGATCCAAAGAAAAGAATCCCCAGTAAGGAAGTCAAAAGCCACAATGCTACAATACAAGTGCATTGCAGCTGGGACCACGGAAACTGTGAACCCTGTTTTCTCCTCCGTGTGCACAGAAGTCATCCCAACAGAGGCTGCGAGAGGTTACTATCACCACTGGCCAATTTTCCAGGCTAGAGCCAGAGGGAAACCGCAGCAGCTGACCTCAAGACGCTTACTGAGGCAACAGCATCCACAGCCTTAAGAACCGACGGAGCTCACCCAGCACGGACTCGGGCTCACAGCAGCACCTATCCAGCAAGCTTCACCAGCTCCTGGTTTGCTCAGAGCTCTGGTGGTCTTTGTGGTCATGATCCCAAGTGTCAGAATCACCCACAGAAGCCAGGAGTGGTGGCACAAGCCTATAATCCCAGCAATTTAGGAAGCTAAGGCAGGAGGTGAGCAAGTTCAAGGCCAGTCTTGACAACTTAGAGACATCCTATCTCGAAGTAAAAAATAAAAAGGGATAGGGGTGTGGCTCAGTGGTAGAGCACCCCTCAGTTCAATCCCCAGCGCCCACGTGTGCACACACACACACACACACACACACAAAATCACCTGCAAAGCCTCTTCTCCAGGCCCCCCCAGAGATCCTACATCACTACCCTGAGGTGGGTCCTAGGCACCTCCAAAAACTTATACTCTGTGGAAGATGAGAAAAAGTGAAATTCTTACTTGGAGCTCTGACAGTTTATGGAGATTCCATATCATATGGAAACGCAAAGCCTGGGAAGGACATCTAAGGGCAAGTGTGCCACATGGTAAAGACATTGCGTATGATTGCTTACGGGACCTAAGCCCAGCATCTACCAGAAGGGGTAAACAGAAGGCTACAGGATAAGGTCAAGACTTAAGTTACATTGGGCGTAGTGGTGCATGCCTGTTAATCCCAGCGGCTCAGGAGGCTGAGGCAGAAGGAGTTCAAAACCAGCCTCAGGGAGAAAAAAAAAAAAAAAGTCACTAAACAACTCAGTGAGACTCTGCTCTAAATAAAAAACAAAGTTGGACTGGGGATGTGGCTCAGTGGTCCACTGCCCCTTAGTTCAATCCCTGGTACTTAAAAAACAAAATAAAACAAAAAAAAGATAAGTTACGAGGACAGTGACCACTCATCCCAGCTTACGCCTGATATCCAGGGTATCCTGCCCAGTTACCAGTGCCTTTCACTCTCCAGTGCCCTAAACAGGATCATAAACTATAGTCACCTTAGTTATAAGCTACCAATGCCTGACTCATTCCCTGTCTTTTAAGGAAAACCAGGCAAAGGGTGAATGAGTGATCAGCTCAACCTGTGAACCCACAGCCATATCTTGGCCCCGAACATTTATCTCAGAAAGACAAGACTAGGAGGTGAAGTCCTCTTCCACCACTGCCACAGTCTGGCTGGGCACAATTCACCTTTATTTTTAGAACACACACACGCTGCACCACATGAGCTCTTCAGGAATTCCCTCAGAGCCCAACTGCCAACACCGGCTTCCCAGGAGCCTCTCAAATCCCCCACTCCTCCTGGTCTTGAGGACGATTGGCTGGGTCGCACGGGTGGAGCCAAAAGAGTCCCCCAATGAGCAGCTCCGTGGTCTGAAAGGGCGGGGGAAATAGCCCAATGAGCATCACCACAGAGGAGCCAATCAGCTGGCAGCTGGAAGTTTGCTGGGGCCACAGTGAGCCAATCAGCTGGAAGTTTGCTGGGGCCCCTTTGGCTGTGGCTCTCAACACACCACCACCATGCAGGAAGCCTGGGGGAATCTGGACTCCCAAAATCAAGGGCAGGCAGGCTAGCTAGGAGGACCACCCAAACAAACTCATCCCTCCTTCCGGAAAGTGTTGACACCTGTACTCAAGAACTTACAGCTGAAAGGGCACAAAACTTGTCTGACTCAGCTGAGTCCAGGAAGTCAAGCAGCTCAATCTCGAACAGGACAGTAGTGTTGGGGGGAATCAGGGGAGGACAGCCCAGCGTTCCATAGGCATAGGTTGGTTTGAACAGAAACCTGGCCACCTCCCCTCTCCGCATGCTCAGAAGACCCAGTTCCATACCCCAAAGGGTAATGTCTGAAAGAAGGGACAGAGAACTCACTTCAAGCTCACCCATCATCCTGTTCAATACCATCATCTCTTCCCCCTTCCAAGTCCATACCCCAAGCCTTCTGCATTGTGGTCCCAGCTACTGGTCAGCCTTGCTTCCTGTGACCCTCCCATTCCCAAACTCCAGCTTCTCCTCACTCAGCAGTATTCTGGCATCTACCTTTCCATCTGGCTCCTTCTTCCTGCTGTGTCTGCCTCCTCACCCCATGTTCAGCTTCTACCCCTAACTTACTCAAACTTAAGAGCTAATTTTGAATCCCCTCTTCCATGAATCCTTCTGTGATCCTCCCAGCTGAAACTACTCATGCCTTCATCAACCGCACCCACAACACTGCACATACCTCCCAGGCCCTCAGCCCACGGAAGTTCTTAATGGCAGTAATGTCCTCATTATCTGAGTACAAACTTTTATTTATTTATTTTGGTACATGTGGTGGCAAGCAAGCATCCGATGTTCATTTATTTAACAAATGAACAAGGATAAATGCCCAGTGGGTAAGTGGGTAGGTTAGGATTCAAAGATAATCTCGCCAGGTAAGCCACCACCCAGGAAGCCGGGTCTTCAGGGGAAATGGGAAACAGAACATGGCTGGTTCACTAAAACGCAGCCTCAGAAAAACCAACTGTAAGAACCTGGGCTTTGGACAGTTTCCCATTCCTAAAACCTTGTGCGCCTTCTTTTCCTGCTCCCAGCCTGAACTTACCTTCTCCAAGTTTCATTAGCCTCGGAGTTTTCCTGAAACAATTAGAATCGAAAGGCTTGTCCATGTGCTCCAAATATCCAGAATATTTCACTAGGACAGAAGAGAGTGGTGAGGAAAACCCGCAAGACACCCTCACCAGCATGACCCTGAGTGTGCAGAGTTACTCCACGGGAACACAGGACTGCGTGAACTGGAGCTGCTCGAGACCCAGAGCCACAGGGGACTCTTGGCGTTGTGGACGCGGCTCTTGGGCCCCGGGGCTCGAAAGCTGCACTCTTGCGCCTTGGCGCGCTCCGCGTTCAGGGCAGCATGACGCAGAGGGCACATGGCATCCTTCACGGTCACCTTAGAGAGCGCACTCAAAAATTAATAAATTAAAAACAACAAAAAACACGTGGCCTCCTTCTCTCCAAAGGAAATGCAGTCCAAGAACACAGGACAGCCCTGCCCCCGTACCTAGCACCGAGGCGTCAGGTGTCACCAGGTCCCCGGTGCCCTCTCGGATGATGTCCTTCAGCACGCCCCGGTCTCCGGTAATGTCCAGCATCCTCTGACTCAGGCGCTGGTAGGGCGACTGGGAGAGTGAGAGAGGCAGACCTCAGAGCCCCAGGCCACCCTAGACCCCGATGCGGCGTCCTAGGCCCTACCTGGCCAGGGGCGTCGTCCCCTTCCAGGCCTCCTGGGTTCCGGGCGCTGCCCCCCATGTCCGCGCCGCCAGCCCTACGCGCTGCGCGAGCCCTCAGCCCACCCCAGGCTGCCCGCTGGCCAGGGCTCCTAGGTTCCGGAGGTTCCGAGGGCGGCCCACTGCCCCCTCATACCCGGCAGGCCGCTCCCGACGGCGGCGTTCCGCTCTGGGGCCACGTGAAGGTGCTCATCGCCTGGGGCCAACCGCCGCCAAAGGCCTGCACGGGGCAGGAACTTCACGGGCAGGGGACGCCCGAGGGCCTGGAGGGAGGGTGACAGCCGCGCAAAGCACGACGGGCTCGCGATAAGGGCGCGCGGGGCGTGGGGCACGTGACGGAGAGCGCGGAACACCACGGGGCACGTGACAGGAACTCGTGAGGACTTGGTAGGAATGTGACAGCGCGCGCGGAGCATGGGGGGCGTGGTGGGCGGCACAGAGCTAGGCAGAGGCACCTGGCGCGACTGGGCGCAGCCCAGAGGAGCAGGTTATGGGGACGCGGTGGGGCACGTGTCGGGCCGCAGGGAAGAACTCGGTGGACCACTTAGTGGAGGTGGGTGGCGGCTCACGTGGGGGAGCACAGGAAACAAGATGGAGGACGCAACTGGGAGCATGGGTGGTGCACACGGCCAGGGCAGGCTGGGGAGGGCGCTCCAGAAATATGGCCTCATGTTCTGGAGAAATTCAGGCCCTGGCCAAGACTAAGGGAGTACCCCCGGTTCTTGGCGGGGTGTGTGTGTGTGTGTGTGTGTGTGTGTGTGATAATTTCTCATGCTGTCAGAGTCCTCGAAATCTCTTTCGCGGCATAAAGGAGGATGGACCCTTGATCCTCATTCCTTGGGTCCTTTCCCTCTTGCCTTCTTTATCCCAGGAGTTGGGGGAAACGTGAACAAAGCCTTTGTCCCCTTGTTCCCTCCTACTGCCCTTTGGGGAATAACTACTCCAAGAGTGGCTGTAAAGGTCTTTTCACTTACCATCTCATCCTCATCCTGCGGTTTCTTTTTAATCCTTTTTAATACCACTTTCACCCAGACCCAGCCAGCAAGGAAAACCAAAACAAAAAACATGCTCTTGTGGCCAGATGCATCAGACATCTCTTGGCTGAGTAGTTGAGTTTGGTCTCCTTGAGCTGAGATCCAGGTGTTAGGAAGATTGCATTATTTACTGGACACCCAGGGAAGAGTTCACCTCCAAGTTCCTTCACATAGTTGGCAGAATCCAGATCCCTGCTAGAATCCTCCCTTCAGTCCCATGATGTGTGTGGCTTTTTTTCAGAAGCAGCAACAGTGCAGCCACTTCTTACAATGGTTGGGCTCTTGCCTCTTTTTCTTCTGCATCTCTCTCTTGACTTCAGCCGTTCAAAGTTCTCTTCTGTTAAAGGCTGATGTAATTAGACTGGGCCCAGGTTATAGACCTGATTTACCTCTGCAGGGTGGTTCCTTTTGCCATAGAAGGTAACATTCACAGACTACAGGAATCAGAGCGTGGGTATCTTGGGGCCGTACTGCCTCCCCCAGTTTCCCGGGCACCACACCCTCCTGGGTCTCTTCTTCTTCCTGACCTCTAACTATTAACAACCTCAGGCCAGTCCTTGGACTCCTGGCCATCCATTCTATTTTTTCAATCTCTGAGGGATTCCAACCATCCCCATGGATTTTTTTTTTTTTTTAAAGAAAGAGAGAGAGAGAGAATTTTTAATATTTATTTTTTAGTTATCGGCGGACACAACATCTTTGTTTTGTATGTGGTGCTGAGGATCGAACCCGGGCCGTACGCTTGGCACACTACCGCTTGAGCCACATCCCCAGCCCCCCCATGGATTTTTAACATATGTTCCTAACCATAGGTACCCAGCCAGAAGAGGGCCTCTTCCGAACTCCAGAGTTCCAGGATTCTGTTTCCAGTGGCCTGTTTCAGTGACAGAAGTGTGAGGTCAAAGTGTGATCCCCACACTGGCAGCATCGGTGTTGCAAGGAAACTTTTTGGAAATGCACATTTTTAGTCCCATCCGGGTACTCCTGAAACACCCTCTGGGGGCGGGACCCAGCAATCTATTTTAAGGCTGTATGTGATTCCGTTGTTGGCCGGCTGTCTGCAGACCACTGAGCTACTCAGGCATCTGACCCCAGATTTCCCCGTCTCCTCTTTTTTTTTTTTTCTTTTCCTTTTTGTACTGGGGATTGAACCCAGGGGATGCTCTATCACCAAGCTACTTCCCAGCCCTTATTTTTGAGACGGGGTCTCATTAAGTTGCTGAGGCTTCAAACTTGTGATCCTCTTGCCTCAGCCACCCAATCACTAGACTTAGAAGTGTGTACCACCGTGCCCAGCTTGCTCTACATCCAATGTTGTTATCAGCCATTGACATCACCATCCACCCACCAGGTGCTCAAGGCCCTGTGATCCAGTATCTTGTGTGGCAGCCACCATGCTGTTTTGAAAGTATAAATCACTACAAAAGTAAACATCTCGCCAGGCGAGGTGGCACACACCTGTAATCCCAGTGGCTCGGGATTGAGGCAGGAGGATCACCAGTTCAAAGCCAATCTCAGCAATTTAGCAAGGCCCTTAGCAACTCAATGAGACCCTGTCTCTAATAAAATATAAAAATAAGGGACTGGGATGTGGCTCAGTGGTTAAGCCCCCCTGGGTTCAACCCCCAGAACCCCCCCCCCCAAAAAAAAAAACACCATGCAGCTCTGTGAGACCCTCTTAAAAAAATAAAAAATAGGGCTGCGGATGTGACGCAGGGGTCAAGTGCCCCTGAGTTCAATCCCTGGCACTCACAAAACAAAACAAAACAAAACAAAAATCTATCCAATAGCTCCCACTGCCCTTAATGTGAAATCCAAACCTTTGCCCTGACCCTTCCTGATGACTCCTCTGACCTCATTTCCTGAGGTTCCTTCTGCCTTATGCTTTTGCTACCGATTCCCTCTATCATGTGTCTCACAAATACCAAGCTCTTTGTGGCCTCAGGGCCTTTGCACTTTCTAACCCATTGCCTGGATTGCACTCCTGCAGCCTTTCAGGCGGCTGGCTTCTTTTTATCCTTCACCTCCTTGTGTGAGGCTGTGAACTTGAGCTGGGCACCGGCTCTAGGCCATAAGACCAAACCAACGTTGAATTTAGTCATAGTAACAAGTTTTGGTTGGTTGTAGGAGGTGCTGCAGCCAATTTTAATTAATAAAGCTGTGTACAGATTTAACATGATAAGCTGTGACCAGGTGAGTAGCCCATTGTTTTCTAAGTCTCACTTCTGTGTTATCCCATAAATGCTGTCAGATGACATTGGTGGTTGGAGTTCCCAGAACCTGCTCTGAGAGACACTGGGTTCACAAATTGTTTTTGTTTTGGTTTGCTCGGGTGAATTCTACTAAGGTTAATTGGCCTAAGGAATTTTCTTTTCAACAAGCTCAACTGTCCCCTCTTCAAAGACACCGCCCTGCCTCTTTCTAAAATAGTCCTTCCCACAAGCGCCTCTTCATTCCCTGTGTTCACCACTGTTTACTTCCTGCGTGGCGTTTCGCTCCTAGATGGTGTGTTTATGGCCTTATAGCCCCCCGCCCTCTGGATGAGACACTCCAGAAGGTCTTGCTTTCTGCTAAATCCTGAATTCCCGGATCAGCGTTTGATACATCACAGGTGCTCAACAAATATTTGTTGAGTTAAATAAAATGAGCCTTCTCCTGCCTGTACCAGGCCTTGGTCTTGCTGGTCAGGGGGAGACCTCACCCCACTGGCAAACCTGGAGCTCAGACCTTGTTGAGACTGAGTCTGTTCTTCCTGTCTTTTCCAATTAACATTCCCCCATACCCACGTAATACATATGGTAACCATAATATTCATTAACTGCATCATAGAATATCAGTTTCTGCTGGTGTGGTGGTTCATGTCTGGAATCCCAGCCACTTGGGAAGCTGAGGCAGGAGGATCTCAAGTTCAAGACCAGCCTGGGCAACTTAGTGAGACCCTGTTGCAAAATAAAAAACTGGGATGTAGCTCGGTGATAGAATGTCCTTGGGCTCAATTCCCAGTACCAAAAAAAAAAAAAAAAAAAAAAAATCACTGAGCTTCTAAAACCTTGGAAGGCCTCACATTTTATAGGTTCATAATTGAGTGATATTGAAAGAATCAGATGTAAAATACTACAATCCTGTGTGACTCTGTCTATGAAATTCAGAAACGGGCCCCAAGAGGATATGTACGAGTCAGGATGGGGCTGTCCTTGTTCAGGTGCTGGCCAGGAGGAGACATAGGGAGCCCCTGGGTATTGGGAATGGTCTCCTTGATCTTCCGAGTAAATGTATGTGTGCGAGATGTACAGCAAACTGCTGGTTAGGATTTTATTAAATTACACCTCACTTTAAAAATCTAAGCAAATTAAAACACTTTCAAAAGGCTACGAAAGGGACATTCAGAAAGCAGCCGGTCACAGCGTGTGTCTGTCCCTGTTTGGGACTGGTGGGTGTGGAGGTGCGCCCTCCTCCATCTCCACTCCTCCCGGCTCCTGGCCAACGCAGTACCTGAAAGCTGAGGTTATCGGAGTGGCCGGCAGAGGCTGACTCCCCAGTCTCGTGATGTGACCCAGTTTCCACCTGATTCTGAGTGACCTTGGAGACATTGGGACAACATTTCCCAGTATTGCTGGGAAAGGGGAGGAGGGGAGGAGGGCAGGGGCAGAGACCAGGCAGGGGAGCCGGTGTCCAGCTGTGGCCCCGGGTCTCTGGGGAGAAGAGAGCCGTGATCAGCCGCTGCTGCTGGCGTGAGGTCCTCATGGAAAGCCCGGTGGCCGGTGAGAAAGCAGGTGGGCAGTGTTAGGCCCTCTGCTGGTCACTCTTCTTGGGGGGTGGATATGAGGTGGGGACAGAGCCCTTCTAGGTCCCCAGCTCTTAGGAACAGTGCTGTTGTGAGACCAGGCGGTCTGCTCTCGAATTGTCTGAGGGCGCCCATTATACATGCAGCTTTCTGGGTACCCTGGAGACCCCTGAAACAGAATCCCTGGACCTGGGGCTCGGGAAC